TATTATGTTTTCCATCAATCAATTTTTAAATCTGACATACAAAGTCTGACGTTTTATCAATGGTTTAATAATTATTAACAAAAAATAAATTTTTTGGACGAACCAAATCCACCAAAGTCATAGTAGATTATATTGAATTCATTTGTATCATTTAATATACAATATAATATTTTTATTATGTATTAATGTCATTAATGTGGGAAATTGAATTCATAAATAGATCTGTAATAAAATCAAAAATGTTAGATTGCTGGGGAGTAACCGAATTGGTTCCCGTTTGGCCGAATTGGTTCCCGTTTGAAAAAGGTATTTTATTAAGTTGAGCCGAATTGGTTCCCGTTTGTGTACAGGTAATTTATAAAATATAAATGTACCTACACGGCTACACTCTATAATCTATAGTATAATATACAATAAGATGGCAATATATTTATATATTGGAAGTTTAGCAAATTATCTGTGATATCCCGATCAATTAAGATAACGATTAAGATATATGTACTTTTATCGCTGTATGGTATATCGTCTATATCCTATGTACGAATGACAATAATGTTGGTAAGCAGTGAGCACTGTACAGTCTCGAATAACACATCGTGTAAATTTGTAATTTGTACTTCGTATTTGAATTTATGTTTTTTAATTTTAATTTTTCGTAATTATGGAGTTTATGTTTAGTGAAAAGGGAACTAAGTTGTTGATTATTGACAATTACAAGTTTGGATTCCAAAAGAACCTAGCAGATAACATACAGAGGTGGATATGTACAAAACGAAAATGTAAAGCATACGTTAAATTGAACGGAGATTGTTTATGTGAAGAAGTATTAACACATAACCACGAAAGTGAAAACGATGGTACACTTGTGCGACAACAATTGACAAATTCATTAAAAAGAAAATGTGACGAACTTATTACAGAGCGACCATCAAAAATTATACGCAAGGAGATAGCTTCAAACAGTCATAGTGAGTCACTACTTCAAAATGATATTAACAGAGTCCGTAAAAATTTGAATGCTGCTAAATTAAGAACAATTCCCAAGTTACCTTCTAATCTTGAAGAACTGCATAAAAGTGTCAGTGAATATTCGTTAATAACTAATCTCGGAGAAAACTTTATTTATGACAACGATTCTGTCAACAATATAATTACATTTACATGCACGCAGAACTTGGAACAACTCAAGAAAGCCACTACGGTATTTGTCGATGGAACATTCAAAAGTTGTCCTAAGCAATTTTACCAATTATTTTCTATTTTTATCAAGGTACAAAATAGCTATGTTCCTGTCGTATTCAGCCTACTCCCGAACAAGACTACTGACACTTACATACTTGCTTTACATAAGGTCGCAAAATATCTAACAGTTGGCACGGTTTTCGTTGATTTTGAAACAGCTATCCATAGTGCCATAACTTCACAGCTACAGCAAGTTACAGTTAGAGGTTGCAGATTCCATTTATGTCAGTCATGGTGGAGAAAAATTCAACAGTTTGGTCTCTCAAATGAATTTAAAGATAATGCTTCAGAAATCGGACAACTTCTTAAACTATTTTTTGGACTGCCCTTATTATCACCTGAAGATGTCGAAGACTGTTTTTATAATGATTTGATGGCCATAAAACCCTACTGCCCAAAATTGGATCAGTTCTTCGACTACGTTCATGATACATACATAATGTCAGACAGTATCTTTCCACCGAAAATTTGGGCTAGATTTGACAAAAATATTGATAGGACTACAAATTGTTGCGAATCGTTCCATTCAAAGCTGAATAAAGAATTTACAACTGCCCATCCTAATATATTTTATTTTATGGAGACTTTAAACAGTATTCAGACATTAAATTATATTAAATTTCGAAGTAATAATACTAGGAAACTTACTAGCAAACAAGAAAAAAATAACAAATTCTTGGAAAATTGTATGACTGAGTACACAAATGAGAAGCTTACGCGAATTGAATACTTAAAGAAAGTTTGCTTCAAATTTGCAAATCAACGATTTTAAATAATTGTATTTATTATATTTTATTATTTGTATTTTGTACCTACACCTAGTGATGACTATAGTTGACTTCAAAATCAACGATTCAAAATTGTATATAATATTATATCATTTTTTTTATAACACGCATTAACGCACATTTTTAACCAAGCCTACTTTTAAGTTGACAATCCTAAGCCTGTAAAATGTGCGTAATTAAACGGGAACCAATTCGGCTCAACTTAATAAAATACCTTTTTTAAACGGGAACCAATTCGGCTTACTTTAATAAAATACCTTTTTCAGACGGGAACCAATTCGGCATGTGGGGTTGGAGCTCGGGAACCAATTCGGTATCAGCCGATTGCTGGAGTGACTGCAAGACATTGATTTGTGAAAGAATTTTTATTGTATTGTAATCAAAATATAATAACCAATAAAAATCATTTTAAGTATCGTAGGTATTATACTATATATTATTTACCTACTGTGCAGTTATTATATTGAAACAATATACATAAAAAAGTCGGAAAACTATCACTATTGAGTATTGTGTAATATTTATCAATTACCACTCGGTATACCCGTTGAAAATCGATTCTGGACGGAAACTGAGAACATAATATTTCTAAGGATATTTTGTTGTAGGAGTAGGTACTCAGATCCGTACCACGGGGATGGCAAATGGGACAAGTGCCCTAGGGCGGAAAAATTTGTTACATTTTAAAGGATAAAAGCAATGTTTTTAAATATGCATGTTTCATAAGGGTGTCAAAAATTATTGCCCTGGGGTGCCAATGAAAGTTAGCACGGTACTGGGAATACTGATAGAATTAATGTTTTATGTTAGCAAAAAACATATATGGCATAAATTAAATACCTGGAGGTAATTATTATACATAATATTACTAGCTATTATTAACTTACAAGTGAATATCGATGTACAGTAGAACGGTGTGAATATTGGTTTATGGAACAAATAACTTAAACTATTAATATCAATTTTTTGAGAACTGTGTATTACGTGTATAATATATTATTAAATAATAACGTACATAATGGTGATAACTGTTAACTGAAAAATTTCAAGGCCATACGAATAATTATTTTAAATTACAACAAAAAAACTATATTAGTATATTAGTCTTAGCTATTAATACTAAATATTTTATGGATGAATTTTTAATTTTCATGATTTTTAAAAAATTGTTAAGCTTTGAACTTCCAAAAGTTTATGAAAAATACAGACACTAGATATTTTCAATATTTTTAAATAATTAATACACAAATCCACACATTTAAAATCTTGTATTACATTTTTTAAATTGTCTGCATAGTTTGAAAATCTTTACCAACAATTAAACATTTCAGACACCTATAAATATTTATTTATTGGGAATAACTTGAAAACTGTCTAAATATTTTGAATTTTTGAGCATTTCATTGTGAACAATCAAGTGTCTACACTTATTATTACTAAAAAAAACAACTTTTTGAAAAAAATTTATTTTTATCTTTATCATTATTTAAGATTTTACTTTTTTTAATGACAACATACATTATTTTGTACAGAAAATTCTTTGTAATATTTTGAACTGCAGCAAGATCACATTTAGGACAACTAGTTCGTTACTCGTTATAGTTATAAGCATTTCAAGTTTAGATAAACTAATCTAAACTTTAAATAATTATAACCACTTATGAACTACTTCTCCAAAATTTGATTTTTAATTTTTATACATTAAGCTTTATATCTACTCCGAATGATATTCTGCTTTGGAATATGAAATAAAAAATGTATGCTGTAATAAATTGAAAAAATTTAAAAGTGAAAAGTATAAATAGTAAAAATAATTTTTTTCTTAGATGTTTTTCTGAAATGGCATTAAATGATATATATAAAATAATATTTTAATAAGGGTCAGGCACTTAAATGGACCACCTGGTAGAAATTATAGTTAAAGTTATATTCAACAGTAGAATATTTCAAGTTTCTATAATTATATATTTTGAATTACAACAAAACAGATAATTTTGTTATTTAATGTAACTAACTAAGTATAATACCAAAATGTCATCAAAATATAAAAAATATTAACTTCTTAAAAATTGTAGCTTCATCGATTGAATCATACATTATAACATTTTCAAGTCTATATTTAAATTGCACAGTTTCAATTAATAAAATCTTTACATATATTTCTGTGGTTTTGACAAATTTTTTGAAAATTCGTACTATTAACACTTACAAAAAAAATTGTGACTGAAAATGTCACTGACAAACAAAAATGTTTTTATAGATAAGTCATTCGAAAAAAAAAACAGTTGAACATTTATAATATTTATAAATACCCCAAAATAAGCCAAATACTTTGGAAGTTATAACATGTTTAATAAATTCTAATACAAATATTTGATAATCATTTCAAGTCTATAGAGTTATTCAGTTTTGAATTGTAACAATAAAACAAAATCAATTTAGTCCAAATTCCCGTGATTAATATTTTTTTTCCTTGATGACAAAATTTTAATAACCAAAAGTAATATCAACTAGATCTGATTTTCTACCAGAAACTACCTCAAAGTTGAGGTTTGAAACATTTTTACTGTTCCAAAAGATGGCGAAAACGAAAAAAATCACACACACACTACGTCATATCATTATCATTGATTGTAAAATCAATAAATACATTCATCGCTTCGCTGAGAATCTTAAAAATACGACAGGGGCTGTATTCGCCTTTTTTTATTGTTTAAGAATAAAAAAATAAAAAACTTTTAAAACACAAATCTCGGCCAACGGAATTTTCACGTCGTCTTCGCCGGCGACCGGAGCGCTCCACCGGCGGCGACTACGAGTTACTCACGACGGACGTGATGCAGTGGTCGGCCGCCGCCGCCGCGTGCGAGTGTACACAGCGATGATAATATGGTGGGGTGAAGTGTGGAGGAGGATCCTGACGGAGCGGGTGGAGGAAGATCGCGGCGGCCGGCGACCGAACGGCCACGGCGGCGTTCAACAGTCGTTAGTCCGTCAGTCGTCAAACAGTCGGCCGCACGTCATCGTCTCTGTTGACTGCACTTGACCACGATCTGCCACGTTTTCATAAACGGAACGGCTTTTTTTTCCGATTTTTTTTTTCGTCCTCTCAACCGACGATCGTTTGAATAGTCCACATAGATTCCCGACGATGAGGAGCAGCTGGTTACGCGTGTTGGCCGCGGTGTGCGCCGCCGTGGCGCTGGCACAGGCCGCCGAACAACAGCAGCAACAAGGCGCCGTCGGCCAGTCCGAGACGCTGGCCAACGGTCTGAAGATCGAGTACGTGTACACGTTGGAAGGATGTGAGCCCAAGTCCAAGGTCAACGACATGCTTACCATGCACTACACCGGCAAGCTGTTGGACGGCACCAAGTTCGATTCAAGGTAAGCGGACGCAGAGTCTTTTCCCATACTTAGGTGCTCGACTCGTTTGACGCGCACTGCGGCTCACTCGTGAGAGGAATCAGGAATTAGTTTGTATTACGTTCTAATATGGATTTAAAAAAGTTTATCATTATCATTTATCAATTATCAATAAGATTTTTACTCATAACATAACTGTTATGGGTAAATTATATCTGCTTTATTTTGTAAATGCCCGGTGTTACTGTGTATGTCCAGTATGGGCATAGTAAGACTTGGTTTGCAACACAGCAAACCATTGAAACTACCACCTTTATAGCAGTAGTTCCCATTTTTGGTCGGTTTTTCAATTTCCTAGCTCTATATTTATGGCAATTATATTCAACGTGGCCCCTTTCCGTCACTTATCTTGTGATCTATAGAAGTACTTGTTTATATGACCGTCCGAAAATGTGTTATGTATCGTAAGCCCGCGTTACCTACGTAATAAAAAATTGTAAAAACTCGATGCCGTCACTAAAAAGATTTTTTTGACCCGAGACAAGGGAATCAGCCTACGTGTCACTGCACTTACGAGTCATATTATCATCAGTTCCTTTATAATATAATAATTTTATAGTCACCGCTGTTTCCAATTTCACCCAAACGGATGATGATAGCGCGAACAACGTACATCTACACAACAAGTGGCGTTTATAAATCACAGCTGTTACGAAAACCTCGGGAATATCAATATTAATAATTGTATAATAAATAATAATGTACATATATAATTGTAATATTATAATATTATTGTGCTCACGTTTTTATTGCTACGATCGAGTCGACTGCTGCTAATAATTTATCTTAACTGTTTACACTTTGCGACAAACACGCACATGTCGTTAGGTGTACGCTCGTTACGGTTAATAATAATAACGTCATCATCATCGTGTCGTCGCCGTAATGACGTTTTATGTACGAAAACGGCTCAGCTGTTTGAAGTCCACGTCCTGATGTATGCATCCATTACCGCGTGGCTGCGATGGGCGTGACATCTGAATTCCACGGCGTTCCTGTCGGACGTGTTAACATTTGAACATTATGATATTGTTATATCGTGTAGTACTTACTATATTACCCATAGACTATGGATTTTTTGGCCATCGGTCTGGTATGAGTGGTATGACGTACTATATCGCGAACGATTAAAATATAAAAACTATGCCTATCCTACTTGTATCAAACCTCGAGTCAACGCGTAGATGGGGACGATCATAACCCGCTCAGTTTTTTTCTTCAGGTTTTAAACTGTAAATTCATAATATAGAGTTATAAATAATTATAATTAAATCCACAAGTCGAGTTGATAGAATATTCAAAATATATGATATTACTATCACCCTGTATATTCAATGGCTTAAGCTTGCACGTTGCACCCTACATTAAGCCTTTATTTAAAAAATAATGTTATCTTTCTCGTGCCAATAACCTTAGTCGATTTATAAACACATTGTGTAATACTTATTAGTTATTACTTTATTAGTGCAAATAATAGTACCTATCTCATATACCGGAACGCAGGCTAAAATATTATAGTTTATATATGTCTATGGTTTATCTCATTGTTCATACTACGAGTATTTAATTTACATCGATACAATATAAACCAATAGAGGTCCATATATATTTTTGTACCAGGCCACTCTCCCTTTTTTCTTCCTATAGATCCTGGGCCTTACCTAACCTGGTTGCGATGATATAGGAACCACCACCGACGTTATTGGGATCCAACTCGCTAGTCGTTAGACTAAATAAATATGTTTATAGCACAAATTATAAAAATGAAAATCATTATATTATTATTGTGGGCAAATTATAAAAGATGTTTTTATAGGTTAGTAGTATTATCATCGTATGCTCTATTCTAATTAAAAAACGGACTGATAACAACTGTTCTACTGTGTAAAAAATATGGTCCTAAACGATGTTGTTGTGTGTAACTCAGTAACTGTTACAAATACTGACAATATTAGTAGGTGGTGATGTGGTATAAGTGTATAACACGTTTATTATACTCATTTATCCCTATATACATGTATTATCAATTTGAATGGTTTTCTAACTGTTTAAAAACCGGTTTTGTCGGATAACATATAATATCATTTTCTAAACTCGAAATACTTGAAAAACGTCTAGAATACGTATAATATAAGAAGAAGAATATTACTTTACCTGCGACACGTAGCCACGTAGGTACGACGTTCGTACTGCGACGTGCAACTTATACGTCCATACATTGTTAACCTAAACATTTATCGTCGTTACTGCAGAAAAGGACAATTCTTATGTAGTATTATTCTCGTTCGTACACAATTTATTCGTTCTTTTAATCGTTATCAAAATAGTAATGTCCGCCCAACGCGCTTAATATGATAATATATTTTTTCCAAGAAATCGTTTTGAACTTTAAAGTCATTATATGTACACTAGACACTAGTACCTATACAGTATACATAATATTACGGCAGTAGACGAGACTTTTATACTTAACTTTTCATCATTACATTTTTATCTCATGACTATAATTAATCGTGTTCGCTTTTGCAACACGCATGACCAAAACTCTGAAAACCAATATTGTGCGAAAAATGTGGAAAAGAAAAAGCTCGTCATTAATTTTGAATAGATTTTCAGCCCACACTCTGCCTTACGTATACACCTACCTGAGAGGGCCAGGGATATCTCGAGCCATCTGAGTAAACTGTAAATGAATAGCGTTCGCCCCTAATTCCCATCACGCATCCACACCGCCCCTCTTAGCTTTGTCCCGTGGGGCCCAGGTGGAATTAATTTAACCAGTGTATTAAAACACGGCATTCCGAACGTCATAAAAATCGAACGCCTCCAGATAAAAAACGATAGCGATAATGCCCAAATAAACAGTCGAAGTCGAGTCTTAGCAATTGCTCTTCACACCGATTTTCAAGATGTGATATGTATCGTCACAAAGTCAAGTTCGGTCAATACTAATTATAAACAAATATCGAATGAAATACATACATATATTTCCGCTTGTGATTAATTTAACATTTATGAATGTGCGCTTTGTACTGCCTAGTCAATTTTTCACCGTTAATATAGTCGCTGAAATAGTATGCGAAATGTGTACACTGAGTATATTATGTTATTGTGTATTAAAGTGTGTCGAGTCAAAACAAAAGCGATGAAAATATATAATAACAATAATAATAACCAAGTCACCAATAATATATAACAGCTGGGTGATTAGAATATACTGTAATGTGTGTATGTCGCTCTGTTAAACTTGTGATATAAACGAATATATAAAGTCAGCCTAAGCGAGACTGAATAAACTGAAACGTCTATATATATCACAATAGTACAATATCCTAAATTCGTAGTTAAAATATGTAGCTTTCATGCTCACTTGACTCATCTTAAGTCGGAAACATAACATATGATGCTAATGCTAAAGATTGACTGTAATCGTACCGAGTATTTCACTCACTGATGCGCTGTCATCCGCTTTCAAATAAACTCAATAAGAAGCTTCCAGATAACAAATTGAAAATGCATTTGTTCGTTTACGTAATACGTATTTATTTAATTTATATGATATGTATAAAGCATATGCCATATATACTGTATGTATATGCTTATAAATACAGACGATAACGCGAAGTCTTTCGGCTAACCTCAATTTTCTCGAATTTATTGCAATAAGTTCTTATGTATGTTATTTCTGTAATTCTAGTTTGCATTATAATACTATGTTTTAAAAAAATGAATAAAATGTAACAAACGTTTTTATGATCGTCAATTAATTTTGTTTCGTATGCCACATTATATTTTGCATCACGAGTAGTTTTGGCTTTACGGCGATCCTGGTATTAAGGCGCAGTATAAATAAATATCGAACACGTTGTTTATTTTGACATTTTGCTTGACGCTAATAAATTCATAAGCGAATAATTAATGTTGATGATGAGGAGAGTTATGGTCGGCTGTCAAACTTCGTTGAAAATCCAAAAGCTTCAATAATGAAATCCATCATTTCAGTGTCTCTGAGTTTACCGTTGTGGGTCAAAAGAACAATGGATCGAAATATTTTGACAATAAGCTACGTGAAAATCCTTTTAGTGACAATGTTCGAGGGAGTGGGTGGGTGATGAACATAAACCGCCAGCTGTTGTACGTATACACTATACAGCGATATTAAATTTAGCATTATTATAAGATCCGCAAAAAAATGATATAAAACCATTCTTTGAAATTGTAACCTTTCACTTTGGCATCGTTTGATTAATCATATAAGTCATATAAATAGCATAGAGCCGTAACGTAGGCTGTATTTACACAAACCGTGTGTTTTGTATCATTTCTACCGGTTTTTGGATTTCGTAATTTTTTTCCTTAGAAAAGTAATGTAGGAAAAACCTTTTTTTGTTTTTTTTTTTAAACTGAGCCTAAGATCCGGCTAAGAAACATATATTCTGGAAAAGCCGGTGTAAATCATTTGTCACGTAGTGCACGTTGGTTCGCATAGTGAAAAAGGGGAAGTCTCGCAGTACGCATCGTTAAAAAAAAAAATAAACGTCCGTGTAATCGGTTCTCATTTTCATTGGGAAATGTAGTGTAGCAACGCGAGACCAAATGATAAATGACTGTATTTTGTGATAACTAAATATCGCCAAAGCATTTATAAAATATATATAACTGACATACGTAATTTTTTCTATGACACTTTACTATTATTATAACTGTACAATATAAATACGTATATAAATCATATACAGCGTGTTTTCCTTGCCTAAACATCAAGAAAAATAAAAAACGTTAACTTTTTTTCGGATTCGATAATATCAGTATCAAATCTACCCAATTCGTGTTCAATGCGTATGCACACAACTCGTCTACCCCCACAACCTTCACAAACTGCACAAGTCGTGAGTTGTAGGGTATCATTGAATCTCCTCAAAGGTTTTAAATGTGTAGGTAATAATATACTGCAATACAAT